CTGGTCTGGTGTGTTGGGATGCCCAGCTAGGCAAACCTCTGCCTGCCAGGAAAGGGTAGAAACTGCTGGTGAAACCTGTCTGGTTGTAATGGCAATTGTCCGCCAGCAGAGGCCAGGAGGAGCTCAGCAGAGATGCCTGGCAGAGCGCCCGTGCAGCAGGGAAAAGCTCCATGGAGACAGATGCCCAGCAGGGAGCTTTCCAAGGGACCTCATTTGAGGGGAGGACCCAGGCACCACATGTGAAGAGAGAAATGTGCTCACTGCTTTTTGTTGAGACAGCTGTGGTACTAGTGGAAAGGAGACCCACCTTAGAGTCCTAACACCCGAGTTTGAATCCTCTGACACTCTCCGTGTGCTGGTCACTTCTTAATGTCATCATCATCATAATTTATTATGTTATATATTATTATATGTCATAATATAATACATTCTATAATAATCTAATACAACATATGTTATTATAATAATATGGGTACATATACACACATGTGTATACACGTACATTATGCATGTGTGTATGCATATAGCACTAATGTTTACCATGTGCCAGGCATGGTGCTAAGTATTTTACAATGATTATCTCATTTGATCCTTGCAACAACCCTGGGAGGCAGGTGCAGTTATTATCGCCATTTTGCAGATGAGGAAACTGAAGCAAACAGAAGTTAAGTGACTTGCCCAGGATCACACAGCTAGTAAGTATCTGAGGTTAGATTTTGACTCAGGTCTTCCTTACTCCAGAACCAGCACTCTATCCACTGTGCCACCTAGCTGTGAACTTCAATTCTCTGGGCCTTAGTTTCATCATCTATAAAATGAGGATAATTAGGGAGCATCTTTAAATTTAAAATTCTGTATAAATGTAGGTTATTATTAATATGCGCCTCTTCCTTCTTCCCCACTCAGGTGCATTTTATTTTTTTAGGCAATTGGGGTTAAGTGACTTGACCAGAGTCACACAGCTGGTAAGTGTCAAGTGTTAGGTCACAGGCCAGATTTGAACTCAGGTCCTCCTAACTTCAGGGCTAGTGCTGTATCCACTGTGCCACCTAGCTGCCCCTCAGGTACATTTTAACAAGAGAACATGCCTCGCCACTAAAGGAATTTTAACTCTCTGTTGGAGAAAGTTAAGGCACCAATACAGGACTTTGGGTGACATTTTTTTCATACAGAAATGTTTGATGTCTCCTTTCAGTTATACTATATAGGTGTCCGCCCATGTGGAAAGACATTCTTGGAATTACTTAACCCTGCACAGCTATCATGTGCCCCAACTCCTCCATGTCATCCCCAGGCAACCTAAAGTTGCTCCAGTGTGCTTTCTTCCACTCTTTGAAGTGGGAAAATGGAACGAAAGCCTTTCTCACTCGTTCCAACTTCTTACATTTACTGAGACTTGGCTCCCTCCTGACAATACAGCTTTCCTGACCATCCCTTTCTGCTTTCTATCATACTTGCAATAAGAGTTACAGTGGAGAAGTTGGCATATCCCTTGCTGCCCACTGGAGTAGGTAACAAAGTGAATAGAACACTGGTCTTAGAGTCAGGAAAACCTGAGTTCAAATCTGGCCTCAGACACTTACTAGTTGTGTGTCATTTAACCTCTGTCTGCCTCACTTCCCTCACCTGTAAAATGGGGATAATAATAGCACCTACCTCTGAGGGTTTTTGTGATCCTCAATTGAGATAATATCTATAAAGTGCTTAGCACAGTGTCTGGCACATATTAGGTGCTTAATAAATGTTTATTCCCATCCCTTCCCCTTGCAACTTGAAGGCTTTTCCTCTACCACCATTACTCAGTAACTTCTTCAGTGGGCTTCATTCAATCCATACATACCAACCAATAAATATTCTGGAGGTTGTTGTCTATAGACCTCCAGGATATTATTTTTCCTTCCTCAGTGAGTTCAGTGCCTGACTCACAGTCTTTCTCTCCTCTCCAGCTGCTACACTCACACTAAGGGACATACAAATTGATACTCCCTCAAACACCCTATCCTCCCAGTTGCTCAGTTTACACATTTCCCATAATCTACTACTCAGCAACACAGAGATATGGTAATACTTTTGATTCTGCCATCACCCACAAATGTAACACTTCCGGGTTTATGAACTCTGAAATTCCTTTATCTGATCATAATCTATTGTCATCCCAACATCTTTCTCTGCCTTGCAACCCCCCAAAGTAGTTCTTCAGCTTTACTACAACCTCCAATACCTCTGCCTCTCAGTTCTTTCCCAGGCCATCACCCTTGCAGTGGCTACACTCAACTTTTCCACATCTTGATCTCTCTTTTTTTTTTTGCCTTTTTGGCGAGGCAATTGGGGTTAAGTGACTTGCCCAGGGTCACACAGCTAGTAAGTGTCAAGTGTCTGAGGCTGGATTTGAACTCAGGCACATCTTGGTCTCTTGGTGGACCTGTTCAATCCTACACTGTTTTCTTTCCTTGAGTCTCTTACCCCCTTATCCTATGCAAAATCTTAAACGCTGCCAAATCTCAGCCTTGGATTACTCCCACCATATGCTGCCTTCACTCCTGGTCATATGCTACTGGACAAATATGGAGAAAATCATGAAGCTGTACTGACACTATCCACCACAGATTTGTGTTATATGATCTCACTGCCCTCACTTTGACAAGTCAACCATTTTATACCTCTCTCATTGACTCACTATCCTTTTCAACACAGTGACTTTTCCAAACCTTTCCATCCTTCCTCAAACCTCCTATGGCTTCCCTGTCCCATCTACCTCCATTAAGCTGAGAACTTTGCCTCATAAGTCACTGAAAAAATTTGAGGCCACTCACAAAGAGATCACTTTCTTCCCCTCCTCCTCATCTCATATCACCTAGATGTCTCCTGCCACTATCTCCTTCACCTGTTTCACAAGAAGAGATGGCCCTTCTCCTCATCAAAATAAGCTCTTCTGGGGCAGCTAGGTGGTGCAGTGGATAGAGCACTGGCCCTGGATTCAGGAGGACCTGAGTTCAAATCCGGCCTCAGAGACATAACACTTACTAGCTGTGTGACTCTGGGCAAGTCACTTAACCCCATTGCCTAACCAAAAATTTTAAAAAAACCGAACAACAATGAGCTCTCCTATATGCAGGACTGGTCTTATTTTATCCCATCTTCTCCAACAAATTGCCCCCTCTATCATTCTAGTCCCTCACCAATCTTCAGCTTCTACCTGTCTACTAGCTGCTTCCCAACTGCCTACAAATAAAACCATGTCTCACTTATCCTCAAAAATCCCTCACTCTATCCATGCTAGCTGTGGTCCTATGTCTATCTTAGCCCTTTTGTAGCTAATTTCCCTGAAAAAGCCATCTGCAATCAATGCCTCCACTTCCTTTCCTTCCCCTTTCTTCTAAACAATCCATGGTCTGGCTTCCAAACTCAGCATTCAACTGAAATGGCTATCTCCAACGTTACTGATCATCTTTACCCACCTGCAGCCTTTGACGTTGTCAAAGAACCCTCCTCTCCTTGATCCTTCTCTTGGTTTTCATGGCAGTGCTCTCTCTGAGTTCTCCTCCTACCTGTCCAATCATTGTTTCTTAATCTCCTTTGCTGGATTTTTACCCAAGTCATGCCCACTAAACATGGGAGTCCCCCAGGGCTCTGTTCTGGGCCTTCTTTTCTTCTCCTTCTATGCAGTTTTACTTATTGATCTCATCAGTTCTCAAGGATTCAACTATCATTTCTATGCTGATGATTCTCAGATCTATTTATTGCTGTTGCTGTTTGTCCTTCATTCTCAAAGAGGACCATGACATCAAGGAGGTGATGCCATGACATGCAAGTGAATTGGATTTAAATGAGGGAGGGATGTGCAAAATCACCAGCCTCACTTTCCCTCTCTGGAGCCATCTGGGCTTAATGGCCAGATATAGATCAGGACAACTGGACATGGCCTAGAATTCAGTGGTAGACATTGGCCTTTTCAAGCTAAGGTCTTTAACAAATCTGAGTCCAACAGAGGCAATACCCATTCAGTGATTAAAACTTAATTAGTCTGTCTCCTGAACTCCATTCTCACATCTCTGACAGCCTCTTGGACATTTCAAACTGGATATCCCATAAACATCTTAAAATCAATATGTCCAAAATGGAACTCATTATGTTTACCCCTAAACCCTCCCCTCTTCCTAACTTAACCTCTTACTCTCAAGGGTTCCACTATCCTCCCAATTACAAAGACTGGAATTCTAGGTATCATTCTCAGTGATTTCCTCTTCTTCTTACCCTGCCTCCATATCAAATCAGTTGCTAAGTCCTATTATCTGTACCTTTACCATATCCCTTGAATATGCCTTCTTATCTTTCGTTACTGCCACTACCGCCACTTCCACCACCACCACCACCACCACTGAAGGCCCCCATAACTTCATGCCTGGACTATTCCAATAGCTTTTTGCTTGGTCTCTCTGACTCAAGTCACTCTCCACTTTGGTCCACCCTCCATTCAGTTTAGGAAGAATTAATCTTCCTAATGGGCAAGACTGACCATATCACCACCCTATTCAATAAATTCTAATAGCTTCCTATCACTTTAAGGATCAAATAAAAATCCTCTGTTTTGCCTCTTAAAACCCTGCATAACCTGACTCCATCCTACTTTTCTATTTTTCTCATACCTTACCCCATCCTCTTCCTCCTCCTCCTTGACATACTCTATGATTCAATGACAATGGCTTCCTTGCTATTCCTACTATATAATAGTCTGTCTCTTAAACATTTTCCAGCTACTCCTAATACCTATAATTCTCTCCCTTCTCATCTCTATTTTCTAGCTACCTTGGCTTTCTTCAAGTCTTGGCAAAAGGGGTGTATGGGGTGTTCAAGAACGACTAGCACCTCTGCTGTGATGACTTGCTGAACCCCTTTCAGGGCTGCTCCTCCACCTTTGATGTATACCTAGCACTCAATTCTCCCTGGTATAGCAATAGAATCAACTTTTACGTAGTTAGTAAGATCCGTACTCCACCCACCTGAGCCTGGGATTGGACCAGATCATCTGAGTTACACTCTTCCTGAACCGCCCATGCCATGTTTCTCCACGTTCCTCCTTGTTCCTCCTTGTCATGTTAGTTCATGCATCCAATGTTCAAAATGGCGGCTATCTCTGCCTTTGGGATGTGTCAGTTAATGTTTAATAAGCTTATTGAGCGATCACAGTGGAGAAAAGCCTTTGCCCTGTCCTTGACCCTGACAGGTTGCAACTGGTTTAGCCTCCAGGGCTCTCTCTTAAGGAACTAGTTGTTTGTAGAATGTTTGAAGTACTTTCTGATTGGTTGAGGGACTGATGAGGATGGGAGCAAAATCCCCAAAAGGAAAAAACCCTGGACTTTCCCACATGGCCAAATCTCTGGCTTTTGCCTGAGGCTGTAATCCCATCAACTGGCCTTTCTTTGTGGCTACACCCAATCTCCCAATTCTGTTACCCTTAACCTAGCCTAGCCCTCCCTATCATTTCCTATGCTTAATCCTACCTAGGCTCTATTGTTCAGGTCCCAGGAGTTCTGTTCACCCCAATTTACTGGACACTCCAATCCAGATCTTCTTAGACCCCTCCTCTAGTTACCCCAAACTACTTGGCTACTCCTACATCCCTCCCACAGTCTTTCTGTATATAAGGTCCATCTTGTCTCCATTAAAATGCTTAGATTCTTATAATCTAGCCATGCTCAGATTTTTACAATCTAGCCATTAGCTCACAGATGCTCAGATTCCTTAAGAGTCTGGCTAATATGGTGGATCCTTAAAAACCTTGTTTTTGTCTGAAAGAAAGCTTGGGTCAAATTCTTTCAGACAGGACCCACGTGTCACAATCTCAGGGTCCCAGCACTCCTAAACCTGTAGACCTCATCAGGACTGTCCAGAAGATCTTGGAAGTTTTTCTCAGAATTCCCTCGTTCCATTGTGGAAGCCTAACTCCTAATCCTTTCTCACATGGCTTTTCAAAGGATCTCAGAATTGGAAGAGGCTTCATAAACTAACCTGTACCTGAAGAAAAAGTTCCACTGTAATATGCCTGAAAAAACATTATCCAATTTGTTGCTTAAATACCTCTAGTACACATGAGGTCAGAAGGGTAAGATCATCACTAACCTGTGGAATCAGCAAAGACTTTCTAAAAAAGATTATATTTGAAATGGATTTATGTAGAAAGAGACATTCAATGAGAAAATTGTGGGATGGCAGAGTAGGAGTGGGGTTGAACATTGTTAATTTAGGGTATAGCGTTGTTAAAAGAAAAATTCTTTGTTTCAGTGCTTGCCCTGACTAATGGGGCAAAACTCAGGGCAAAGAGAATTAAAAGGAGATTATTAAAAGTGTGTCAAGGTAGCAACACATTGATGGGAGGGTCACTGGAGATCAGCAAGGGATTCAAAGTGGAGCCAGCTTTTATTGATATATTTTGTAATGAGATAAAGATTATTTGGATAGGTTCATGTCAGCAAAGGGAGTGGCCCATCGCATCTCAGCACCTCCCCAAGGTAGCAGGTACAGGGCTCCATGATGTTTAAATGGGTGCCAACAGGTAGGGCAGGGGTGGGGAACCTATAGCCTCAAGGCCACACGTTGCCTTTTAGGTCTTGGGGTGTGGCCTTTTGACAGAGTCCAAGTTTTACAGAACAAATGCTTTTATTAGAAGGATTCTTTCTGTGAAGTTTGGATTCAGTCAGAAGGCTGCACTTGAGGACCTAGAGGGCCACATGTAGCCTAGAGGCTGCAGGTTCCCTACCCCTGAGGTGGCTTGGTATGGGATAGACAGCAGGTAATACAAAGCTGCAGGCTGGGTGACTTTTCCCCCAACACTGATTAACAAGCAAGGCTGGAAACAATGAATAACTTTCAAGAGTGTGTTCAAAGAGGAAGAATGCAGAGTACATACAAAAAGAATTATCAATATTTCTATTTGGATGGAATTTAGTGTGTAGAGAAGAGGAACATTCTTTCAAAGTATACTTAAAGTTAAAATGATTTTTATAAGAATACTTGTTCAGTTGTGTCTGACTCTTTGTGACCCCATTTTGGGCTTTCATAGTAGAGACACTGGCATGGTTTGTCATTTCCTCTCCAGCTCATTTTACAAATGAGGAAACTGAGGCAAACAGGGTTAAGTGACTTACCCAGGGTCACACAGCTCAGTAAGTGTCCAAGGCCAGATTCGAACAAAAGATTAGTTTTCCTGACTTCTGACCCAGCACTTTATCCAGTGGTCACTTAGCTGCCTGTAATAATGCTATTCCAATTTAGAATATGGTAAACATCAACCAAAATAACCCACGTAAACAAAAGTCTTTGAGGGTGAGTGGAGGAGGGTTCCTGGAATATTTTTTTTTAAGAGTGTAGAGAAGGTCCTGAAACCAAAACATTTGAGAATTACTAGTGTACAAGAAAGTGGTAAGAAATAAGTCCTGAAATGAGGAACAGCTTGTGGAGAGTTGTAAATTCTAGACAACGGAGTTTCAGCTTGACTCATTATGGGGGGAGGGGATCTTTGAAGGCATTTGAGCAGAGGAACTCCATTGTCATTTGTGGACCTGAGGTTTCACTTGATAATCATTTAAGATCAGTTGAGCCCCAATAAGGGCCAAAAACCTGAATTAATCTTTTTCTCTCTGAGTGAACTAAAAACACTCCTTCCTGTGTCAGCAAATTTCAGGACCAAATGGAGCTCACCAACATTCTTCCTGTTCATCATCACTGAGCCCAGGATATCTGGGACCAGACACTCTCTTCATTAATGAGACTTTTCCTTCTTTTGTATTCTATAGATATGTGTTATGTAGAGGAAACACATATCCTGGATCTATAATTTTGATTGATACTTTGACATTGTTCTATTGTATTTACAATCTATGCAATTAAGTAACTTCCCTTTTTTATACTGTATGTTAAGAAGCATATGGAGGCTATACCTTTTTGTTGTAACACAGACATCCTGCGTCTGACCACTCTAAACTGTATAAAACCTCTCCCATTTTGTTTAATCTCTGAGTCAGAATCACATTCTGGCTTCCATGTTAACATGATTTGCTAGCTAAAAGGGAATAAACTATATAATCATGTATTACCTAACTTGTTTGCCTTCTTTAACCAAACTTTCAGGTTAACACACTGTATTAGGGAACTCTTGGTGAGCAAACTCCCTCTACCAGTGCACAGCAGAAGGTAGTTTACAATTTATCTTCTTACAGAGATGCCTGAGAGGTTCAGCATTATTATTGCTGTCGCATTATTAGTTGTAGAAGACTATTAAAAAGCTCCTTCTGGGTTCAAACAGAAATATTAAGAAATAAGTATTTCTCTAGTCTAAAATCTTTTCTAGACTTTCCTCTTTAGAAAAGAGTGTAAAAGGTCAAGGGGTTTTTTTGGAGGGGGAGTCCTGGGGGGGCAGAGGGGAAGGATTAAAGGAGACAACCAAATTCAGAACCAGAAATACTTCTAGTTAATCCCTGAAAGGATTGGAGTGATGATCCATTTATGGGCAATACCTTTCCCATTCTGAGGGGTCATAGGGAGGAGGTCACTTTGAACCCTTGAGGGGAGTGGTCAAAGAAGAAATTGAAAAATAAACAGTTTTAGAAGATTAAATGGCTATTGTTCTATTAGATCTGGAGTAGAAAGTTAACCCCAAACTGTGTTTTTATCATATTGTAACCTTGTCTTTTTAAAGATTCCTACAAAGGTTGCTACAAATGGTCTTGTGAAGGAGAGATGTATTAGGGCATGTGAAGATTATGTCAGTTTGGACACCTTTCTCTAAGCTAGAAATACTTGGATTTAGATTAATATTAAATGAATAAAAATGAACTGTAAATGGCCTTGTGCCCATAGTAATACTGATTATTATATAAATATTAAGGTATTAATATTAATAATTATTAATAAAATAAAAATATTATATATAAACATTAAGGTATTACTAATAATACTAAGGTATTAAGCCTTTTGCTTAAAACAGAGTATAGTATTGGCATTAATATTTTTTATCAACAAAGTGTTATTATTAACAATTTTGTGCATAAGGGATATGTCTGTTCATGATAGACGTGATTAACCATAGATTGGAGAAGGGAAAGAGTGAAGGAAAAAAGATTTATTAGAAGACATCTAGGCACCCAGAGATGAGGGACTGTTCATACTGGGGATGTACTGATCATACATAGAGAAGTATCCAATGTGGAGATATTTCCCATATTCTTTTTGAGTAATTTTGGAAAGTAGAATCTGTCTGTTCCATGAAGTGTATTCTTGAAAGACTGCAGGACTCTGCCTTCTTCCTTGTCTGAGAAACTGATGGAATGGATCCTCATGCTATGAGGCTACAGAAAGTTGCAAGAAGTGGGACAGAGGCAGGGAGAGAATTACTTGTTCCTGTCTCTAACTCCACCACAGTTTTCTCCCCACCTTCAAATATGTCAGGGAGTGACCGGGAAGGTAGTAATTATAGAGAAGTGCTCTGTCAATGAAGCCTTCACACTAGACACTGCTAACAACTCAGGACTTACATATGCCTTTGGGGCTAATAGTTGCTCAATCAAAGATTTGTTTCATTTTCCTCCTTGATTTTAATAAAATTGTCTTCTCTAGTACTAAATGGAGAGAGTCTTTGTTAATGGAGAATTGGTTTCAGTATGCTTGAGGGTACCATGTATAACCTGCCTTTGGCCATGTCCACTAGGGGAAGGAAATAAGCACTTACATAGCAACTACTATGTGACAGGCACCATTTTTTTTCCCCCACCAAGTTTAGGTTTTACTTCTTTTGCTTTGAGGTAGCAAAAAATAGAGACAGTGAAATGAGGTCTTAGGGTCACACTTTTGATCTCCAAAACAACTTTGGAAGATAGGCATTATTATTATCACCATTTTACAGGAAACTCAGGCAAACAGAGGTTAAATGACTTGCCCAGGGTCATATAGCCAATAAGCACCTAAGGCCAGATCTGAAGTCAGATCTTCTGGACTCTTAAGCCTAGCACTCTCTCCACTATGTCACCAGCTGCTTCCACAAGGAACAGAGAGAATTTTTAGAGAGTGGGATGAACTTCCTGCCAAGCAGTCTACTCAAATTCCTAATTTTGGGGGTCTGTCATGACTTTGATCCTTGAAAGTGCTTGCAGGAAAGAGAAACTTGAAGCCCCAGGAGAA